TTTATTTGAGAGAGAGCACGAGGGAGAGGGAGAAGCAGGCTCTCTGCTGAGCAGGGAGCCTGATGTGGGGCTCGATCCCAGGACCCCAGGATCATGACCAGAGCCGAAGGCAGACGCTTAATGGACTGAGCCACCCAGGTGTCCCCAAAGCAATATGTTAGATATTTAGAATCTGCCCCCCTCCCGTGCAAATAGCAGTTCCCTGTGATTTTGACAACCAAAATGGCATGACACGATTTGAGAACTGCTGTTTGGAACTACAGTTCCAACCCCTCCCCAGTACTGCCTCTAGTCGACAACCTCTCATGAAGGATTCGCCACAGTACAAGCTAGAGAGCTGCATGGGAGACAGGGATAGGGAGAGACATACGTGCCATGGACTGGTGTCTGGGACCCAAACATTGGGATGGTTGGCATGGACCTCCTACAGACTACATAGAATGGGTAACCTTATGGATCTCCCAATGTCAAAATACTTAGACCAAATGATATTGAACTACAAGTAATGCTTTAACAAACCCACCATATTATCCATGTGAACTTTGTTTTTGGAACACAACACTGATGATGCTATAATGACAATAGCTAATATATATTGAGCGCCCCCATGTGGTAGGTGCTGTGCTTTCATCCTCACCACCCTGTAAGCAGGTAATGATCGCCATTCTACACATATGCAATCTACTGCTTAGAGAGAGGAAGCAGTTTTCCCAAGTAGTGGAGTTAGGATTTGAACAGTGAGGTCTGTCTGATCCCAGAGTCCGTGCTGCTAATAGCTGCAGCGAATGCCTAGGAACTGACAAGTCCTGAACACGACCCACTTGCTGAATTTAGAAACAAGGTAAGGAATCGGCTTCAAAATGAAGTGAAATGAAAAAACATTAGCCGACTCTCAAAATAACCACTCCAGGAAATGACTTGGTGCTGTCAGTGAGTCCCCGGTGCTTCACAGGTCTGACTGAGGGGATCCATATCCTTGAGAAATGCAGTTAGGATATGGCTGATGAGAATATCGTAACACAGCGCTGTACTGCTGAAGTGATACCTTCACAGCAGGACCAGATAGATTAAAATAATGAATCAAACTGTGTGGCTGGGACTATCTAATGTAAAGATTATCCAACTCCCATAAATGAGTGTTGCCCTCCCTTCGGGCCGTGCGCTCCGTACGTGGAGCCAGGTGCTCTGGGCTGACACTGCGTATTGAAGATCTTCAGCCCCCTGCCCCAGCTCTTGGGTTCCAGATCCACCTCTGCCGGTAAAACCTCTACACAGATTCTTCAACGCTGTCTGGCATATGAGAACATTCTAGTTTATCTGCCATCCACTGGTTCATTCTTTATTAACCTCCTACTGAGTTTCTTCTCTCCACTTCTTCCTTTTGGCTCCAAAATTCTTGGTATATTTAAGATAAACAGAAACCCCCCTCCCCCAAAAGAAACCCCAGAACTCCCATTCTCCCATCTTTATATATGAAAGCCAACAATACACAGCATTCTTCTGGTAGGAAATAAATATCATGGAGGGTTGACAAGTTAAATTATGTTGCCTTCCAGATTCAGAATGGCGTTTTATGTTAATTGAAAGCCCATAGATAAATACTTGGAAGAAGAAAAGAGGTGTCTCATTTCCTTTTAAGGTAGCTGGAGCAATCTTTACCTTTTATTGTACCCACAAGCAATGAAGCATCACTCGGGCAGCAACAGGGTCTCTCTCTAATTTCTTTGGCTCTTTTCCCCTTCTTTTAATTTTGATGACTGATTTTTCTTCTTCTTTCAGATGAAAGACTTTCGAAGGAAACTGCAATCAATATTTCCAGCAATTCCCAAGAACTCCGAATCTTCTCTTGAGTGGGAGGAAACATTGAAATCCAAATGAGATGAGCATGGTGGGGAAAGTCTAAAACTGTCATGGCAAGGGTAGATTTGGAGATGCCACAGAAGCAAAGGGACTCCCCTGATTTGTCATCAGCAACATGTGCCTTGGTGACTGAACCCACGGGATGGATGGCGTTCAGTGTCCACACAGGAGGCCCACAGTCTGTGTGCTTTACTTTAACATTGATGTGGCGTGTGTGTGTATTAAGGTTGTCCCAAAATTAGGAGGATCCTTTCAAAGTAATTATATGGATAAGTTCTTGGTGGAGAAGATCCCAAGGGAAATACTTCTGTTAGTAACAGCTAAAACCAAGTTTTGTACCTGAAAAAAAAATGTAAAATAACAGACGATGGAAAATCTTTATAGACAAACTCCTACCAGCACTGGTACCTCAGTGTGTCTAATTAAATGAGTTTCCACAGCCTTTCTTGTTGGTATGTGATTGTCAGGACATGGAAGGCTCCCTCCTGTTAGGCCAACTCCACAGTGACAGGTGAACAGGGAAACCCTGTCTGTCAGGCCCCAGCAGGTGTGTCCTGTTGTCCTGAATGCAGCCCTAGATTTGCACCTGCTCGTCAGTTAGCTGATGAGCTCACCTCAAGGCCCTGGAAATTCTCAGACATAGAGAAGCAGCAGCCAGTAACAGATTATGCTAACCTGAAAAGGTAGTCATCTAAAATAATAATGATATAACGGATATAACACGTTCTTTTTTGAGAAGTTGGTTCTGTGTCCCTAAACATTGACTAATAGTTTGTAGTTTTATCTCAATTGTTAATGTAAAAATAGGCCAGTTATCACCTATCTTAAATATTTTTAACCAGAAAGTTACCTAGGTATTAAGTCTCAATATTAAGTAGTTAGTTCTGCCACCTCATGGATTCTTACACATAGGCCCAGCCCTTTCCTGTCCTCCATGATATCTTAGAGAAAACAGAGGATAATGCCTACATGCAATTATTTTTACTGGAGATGAACATTTTTTAAAGAAAGTACTTTAATATGTCAGTATATCCCAAAAAATACGGTTGGATATCAGTAGTGCAATTTCTTCATAATTACTTAGGCTCTAATTAGCAATCCAGTTTAATAAAGTACATTTGAAATTTTTCTGTTATAATGAAACCTTTTAGTTCTAAGGAAAATTTTTAAATGAAATGTCAAGTGCATAATGTAACATTTTTCTCTGGACCGCGTTACCCTGTTAAAGTTGCTGTGTTGTTAATTAATTAAACAGGTGTAAGCAGCATCTGGGATTCATATGTAACCTGTTAAAAATCCAGGACTAAAAGGAAAGAACTGTGGAATTTATCAGGGCATGTGGAGTAGCTAAAACTCTTCACCCAGCTTTCATTTTTAACTAAATCTCTGCTAAGAAAAGATTTCTAGCCTCTGAATGGGAGGAAGGAAGGAAAGGCAAGAGCCAAACTGAACAGGTTGTGTCCATATTACTGGCCTGAGTCTAGGAGCATGGTGGGTATGTTCCATTCCCACAGGCCTGGGACATGGGAGGCCTGAGGAATGAATGTTCGGACACATACCTCTGTGGCATGCCTCATGTTTACAAACCCTTCTCATATATGTCTGTCGTCCTTGAGGGATGGCAAGGTGGCCCCATAAGAATGATCGTGAATCACCTGCAGAGGGAAGGTTGACAGGGACAGACTCCCTAGAATACACCAGGCGTAGGCTGCAGTTGCATTTTAAAAGCAGAAATGAAGTAACACAGATGAAAGTTTAAAGGAAAACAAGCAATATGACTGAAGTGATATTTTTCTACAGTCAAAACTCAGAAGATTTAGTCATTTGTTTATTGCTTTTATACCAGAGGCATATTGTTAAATTGGTTAATGGGAAGGAAAAATGTTTAACAGATAATGTTATTCTTTATGTGAAGTACCATCTGTGTATTGAGTACTGAATGTTCCTGGATATGGAAGAGAGGAAATGTTACGGAATTTCAAGTTTGCCTTCTTTGCTGTCTTTATCTTGGGTAGAGTATGACAAACATAATCACATTTATCTCCTGGAGCATAGAGAGTTTTAATCACCCTATTAACCAGGATGACATTTTTCACAGACTTAAAAAGGAATAGAACAGACATTATCTCCCCATAAGCAATCCATTTCATGGAGGCTGAGCACTAGAAATTTTTTAAAGGATGGATGACACAAGCCATTTCCATTTCATGCGTAAGCCAACATTAAGGCGGCTTTCCATAAGAATGTTGCTTACGCTGGTTGAGCGTTAAGCTTTACGTTTAGAATCTCAGCACCAAAAGAGCTATTAGAGAAAGCAATATAGAGAAAATGCGATGGGCAGGGCGGGGCGACTTCCTAGGCCTCAGGATTCATTCATGGAAAAAAAAAAAACACATGTATTCCGGGAAGTTATTGCTACCCCATAAAAACGTATCCATGGGCTGCTCTTATCTTCAGAGTCAAGAAAATATGATTTCTAAACAACCCCAGAATGAAAAATAGGGCACAGGAAGGGCCTCACATGATGCCGAGCTGCCCATCTCCACAAGAAACCGGGATTCTAATGATCCGGAGTTGGAGTGAGCCGCTGCGGGGCCCAGCAGCACTGAGGTGTGACCACAAGTGACCCTCGTTCTGTCGGACTGACACAGGCCGACGTCGGAAAAACCTTGCTTAGTGCTCAGTCAAAAGGTGGCACCTAATCACCTCCTCTGTCATACATTCTGCTTCGCTTCATGGACAGTATGGGACTCAACTTGCAAATTAATCATGGAGGTTTCCTAAGGGGAAAATATAAGAAATTAAGAAAAAAAAGAAGCCCATGGGGACAAAAGTAATTAAAATCCACTGAATTTAGCTGTTTCACTTGGGGCAAAATTTAATCTCTCCTAGGTGTGGTTCATGGAGAATATTGTATATTGTCACCAATTTTCATGTATCTTCTTTAAAAATAAAGCAAATAGTTAAGTATAAAGTAAAATCAGCCAGGTAGACTATAAAATTATTTCTCCAAATAGTTAAATTTCTCACGAAAGGCAGTAAAATACAGATTCTTATAGTATTTTACCATATTCAAGTGAGATGCTTTTCCTTTCTGCCAAGAGCCATTGAATAATATGTCAAGTATTGGGGTTTCTATATTGGTGTTATCAGGATTAATTATCAAAGGCTGTGCTTACATAAGAGGAAAGTAAGCATCTCTTGCAAGCAGTGACATTGATCTGTAATAATGAGTGAGGCTGTTAGCAAATTCTGTCTGATGGTAGATAACTCAGTTTGGGAGAAAATTAGACCAAGAAGCACATAGAGCTCAACTTTTCTGCCCAAGTAGTAGAGTGATTCAGGACCTAATCTGTATTTCTCATAGAAGCTTGCCTCATTATCATTTGGTGAGGCATCACTTAATTAAAAAAAAAAAGAACACAAAACAATAGTGAACACAGGCAAGAGATCATGTGAACGTTCTCAATGACAGAAGGGTAAAAGCCATTTTTTTTTTTTAAATTTTATTTTGAAAGAAAGTGCGCAATCAAGCATGAGCCGGGGAGGCGGGTGGCGGGGGGGCAGAGAGCCCGATGTAGGGCTCGATCCCAGGACCCTGAGATCATGACCTGAGCCACAGGCAGATGCTTAACCAACTGAGCCACCCAGGCGCCATTCTTAAAGGCCGTTCTTTTTTTTTTTTTTTTTAAGATTTTTATTTATTTATTTGACAGAGAGAGAGTGAGCACAAGTAGGCAGAGCGGCAGGCAGAGGGAGAGGAAGAAGCAGGCCCTCCGCCAAGCAGGGAGCCCGATGCAGGGCTCGATCCCAGGACCCTGGGACCATGACCTGAGCCAAAGGCAGCCGCTTAACCGACTGAGCCACCCAGGCGCCCCTTAAAGGCTGTTCTTAAAGGACTGTCTTAAGAAGGCAAACCTCAGTACCTTGGCACATTTATACAGCACCTATTACCTGCTCACCTGAAAATGTTACAAAATCCATCTTCATGTGGCCCCTGCCTGATGCCTCGGGCTTAGCGTGGGAGTCCAGGTCTGCAGCCTGACAGATGACCCTCCACCACACACATCCAGGTGACTGCCTGGAACTCAAGGCTCCCGACCACAGCCTTGGGGTTCCAGCCAGCTTGGGCCCGCTGTCTGAAGAGAATACAAGTGGCCACAGTGACTTAAGAGATCCTTCAGTTGGGATAGAGGTTACAAAGCTAAGAAAATTAGAGTGTCGTAAATCTCATGCAAAGCTAACAGAAGACCTCTTGTCAAAAGATACGAATGATTGAGGAAACCCTTTGCTTTGAAACTTGCTTGTGGGCCAGCCCTGACTCTCTTAGAGATTTGTATTACAGATGATCGTAGTAAAGTATCTGTGGGAACACTGCATCATCAAGCCTACCACATCCTTACCTAAGGGAAGACTCTTTTTATGCAACTCCCTAGCAGTCAAGAGAGATGGCCCCTGGATCTTGTTCAGGCTTTTCCAGAATTGGAGGCAGATGGCCCTTTAACCTAGGGCTCTCACTCAACAAATCGACTTGCGTAGCTGTTTTCCCTGTGTCTTTCCAAATATCTCTCACATACAAAGATGTTCCCATGGGAATTGTCCACATTTGCCATCTCTGATACGTCTACTGAGAGTGAGTTTGGGGGTGGAATCCATAGTCTTCACAGGCGTACCTTTGCTTTAATTTCTCAATACTCCAAATATTACCAAAGGAGTAGGGAATGAAGGGCTAGGTTAAAAACACAGGTCCGGTGAGACCTGAGAAAAGCACCTGCTCCCCAACAGGGAAGTGGGCGTTCATCCTTGCATAGTCTCTCCAGGTTCAGGACTAAGCCCATAATAGGCCCTTAGTAATTACGGGACAGGAGGGAGGTAAAGGAGGAAGGAGGTGGGGAGGGAAGGGGATGGGATAGCAAGGAGGAAAGAAGAAAAGAGGAACGGGGAAGGGGGAGGAAAGGCAGGGAGAGAGGAGGCAGGGGGAGGGAGGGACGTCCTCACTGGGAAGAAGGTCCCTGCGTCCAAGACCACACATCCAGCTCCTGGTGAAGCTGACAGATGACCCTCCCCTTCTCACTCATGCTGACTACATTGACCTCAGCCACCAAATCTCAAGAAAAATAAAAATCACATGAGAATGATGAAAGATTAGTATCTGCAGTGGGTTCTGGGCCCTTGCAGGGGTTTCTAACTCCCAGTCTTATGACCAGATGGTCCAAAAATTAAAAATCAAAAGCAAGATCCTAATGCATTTACCATCTCTGACATACTAAGCAGGAAGAAACAGAGATGAGCCATCCGAGAAAGTATTACTCAGGATGACCCTGTGTCTGGCCTCAGAGAAGGTCGCCGTGCAGAAGCTGGTCAGGTTCCCAGAAGTAATGATGGTAGGAGCATTCTCTGAAAACAAAAGATCAAAAAAAAAAAAAAAAATCCCTGGTGCTTCTCACCTCACTTTAGAAACTTCACTGTCTAGCAACAGCATCTGAACATAAGGTTCCTCCTACATCTCCGGCCGAGGAATTTTATTTTGTGGCTGGAGACCCCAAGCTGGAGTTTGGCCCCGAGTACCCGGGAGCAGGAAGGGCACACACACCGCGGGCTCAGCTCACCTGGCCTGGAAAAGTGAGACCGAAGCCACCCCACCAGCCACTTCCGCGTGAACCTAACACGCCCTAGCAAGAAGTCTAATAAGTCTACCTAATCTACCCAATTTGTGCCCGCGTCCCCTCTCACTGCTCAGCCAGTGGCTAAATCACTCGGCACTGAGTGCCATCACACCTGATTGACCTCGCACGACAACCGCTCAGGTGAGCTGCTTTGCTTGGGTGGCATCTGCCGGGAGGCCGTGGGGGTTATTAGCAAAGTTCCGCTGGCAGGTTAATATCCTCCCACCCGGTAGCCACGTGTGATGCCCCACTCCGTGCCTGGGCTTTAAGAATGGAAATTAAAAACAGCTCTCTCCAGCCCATGACAGGCCGAGTCTTAACGGACCCGGAGCCGTCCTGACCCGGTGCGATGACTTGATTCTCCGAGGCTCCAAACTTGGACATCACCCTCCCAGAGCAGCTGTTCGCTGGCCCAGGAGCTAGGTCCCCCCGCCACACTCTGGTCAGTGCTCATACCCCGGGGGCGGGGTGGGGGGTGTCAGCCACAGGGTGGGCCAGAAGGCGGGCGCCTTGTCCAAGCAGGAGGCATCCCCAGCCGTAGGCCAGGGACCCATTCCCAAGGCCCTAGGTGGCGGGTCGCTCCGAGTGCCTTCAAGTGTTCCGTCTGCCACTCGGTCACTTCAGGCGACCCCTGCTGAATGCAAGGCACCTCCGGTTTGGAAGCAGCTTCCCGGACAGCCTCCGCTCGTCTCCTTTTCCTTCTCTGTTTATTCTGTAGTTGCCAGAAGATGAGCCCTCCCTCTCCGCCTGTCTTCTGACTCAGCTGGACTCTCTCCGCCTCCTTAGTCTTCCAGGCGTTCCTCCACCCCCTTCACGAACACCTGGCAAAACAAGACAGGAGCGTGATCCTATGCATAAGCGGAGGAACATTTACTCCAACCTGGGGGAAGTCTTCTCAGCGCCTTACCTGGCAGAAGGTCAAGGAGTGGGGGGGGGCGGGGGGGCTGGGGGCAGTCACAGTCCTTGGGTTTTTGATCACTTCTCATGTTCGTCAGGTGTCCTGCACCACCCCCTGCGGACACCTGCTCACATCTATCTTCTCCCGGGGTTATTCAGGTGGATCCTACCCCAGGATCAGCCCTAGCTCTCCAAAAGGAGACTCAAGTGAGCAGCATGTTGGCAGGTTAAAGTAGCCTTAGCTTTGTCTTTTTTTTTTTCCCCCTTTCAGAACAAGGGCCGGTTGATGAGTGATTTTGCAAGCCTCTTTGGAGGCTCATAGTGTGGGATCCCCCGTGTGGCCCAGGAGCTCTGCCCAGAGCCTTCCTCAGCTAGCAGCGTCCTTCCCGGCCCTGGGGAGTCACTTCCCAAACCTCGTCCTTGTTCACAGTGAGTTACTAAGAGTCGATTCAGTACTGTGATAGGCCAATAAACGTTTTCTCCACAGCTAAAACTCCTTTATGACAAACACCATTATAAACATTTAAAAAAATTCTTCACAATCGCAGAGTACCCATGTAACCAGGTTGTCCTCCCTGAAGAGGAGCTCCTGGAGCTGGTGTGGTGAGGGAAGATTCTGGGTCCCCTCACCTACGTCCTCCCCCACTGACTCCACCCTCCAAACCCCCTCCAACCCTCCTCCAACTTCCCAACCTTAACCACAAGCGCAGCCCCTCCGCTTACGCTTGGGATGACTTTGGGCAAATGACCCATGCAGGCCCAGTGTCTCCATCTCTAAAATGGGTGGAAGGAGAACTCCCACATCACCATGTTCTGGGGAGTGCTTAACAAAGCAGCCTGCCTGTGTTACAGGCACACTTGATCTGATCCTGGATAGCAGCCTGGGGCTCCTCCTGCAGCATACTCCTATTCACCCCATCCTCCCAATGCTTGGGCCTCCGGATCTTAGCCTCAGGTGGAGGGTGGGAGCCCTCTCTGGCCTGGGCTTCAGAGGCCACACCTGCTGGTGAGCCAGGCACCATCAGGAGAGAGCCCGCCCTCCAGCCTGGCATGCCCCTGAGCACTCAGGGACCACTGGGCAGCCACAAGGGGAGCAGGGAAGGGCTCGGATTGGGGAAAGAGGGCTTTGTGCACCTTCGTTACTCTGCCTAGACCCATGGTTCTCAAACCTTACTTGGAGCCCTTGAGAAAACCCAGGTCCTGGCCCCACCCCAGAGCCTCCAATTCAGTGGTCTGGGTGGGGCCTGAGAATCTGCATTTCTGTCAAGTGTCAGGGGAGGCTGACGTGCTGGATCAGGCCCATAGTGAGAACCAGGGCCCCATTCTGTCTCTCTGTCTGAGCACGGCTCTAGGGAGAGGAGGCGTCGCAGGAAAGCACCTTTGCTAAATCCTTCACTTCCTACCACAGGCCCCCTTCTCAAGCTCCTGCGAAAGCTACAGTTAGTCCCACCCTCCTGATTCTGCTCTCACCTGCCCCCAAAACATGTGCGTGGCTGTCACTCTCCAAGCCCTGACTCTGCACCTTCCCCTCCCTCGTCACCTTAGAATCGCTCTCTCCGGGGCAGCCTGGCAGGAGCCTCACTCTCATCTGGCTGCCGGTGTGCAATGAGCACCTGCACTCCCTGGCCCGGGTGTGATGTTGTTACAGGCAACGCGGACCCCCAGACACGCTCAGGGGGTCGTCGGAAATGAGCAGGGAGCACTTGGAAGTGGCTGGCTGGTCTCAGTCCCCAACTGTTTATGGTATAACTGGGAAAGGAGACAAGGTCACGTAAATATAGCCGAGATGGGGATGATTACCCCTAGGGGACAGTGAGGACGAGAGTCCTTCCCCCAGACCTGGTCAGAGAGGATGAGCTGGAGAGGACAGGGGAGGGCGGGCCTTGGAGCTGGGTGCAGAGGGCAGGAGAGGCGTGCAGGAGGCGTGGGCCCCTGGCCGGGAAGTGAGTCAGTTTATCCAAGGCTGGGCTGCCAGATGAGAAGTTTGGGTTTTGCCTAACAGCAATGGGAAGTCCATGGAGTTTTCTGAGCTTGTGATCTTAGGAAATTGGCATTTCCTTTCATTCATTCATGCACTCACTTAAAGCACGATTATTAAGTGGCTGGTGGGTGCTGGGTGGGGCCATACCATGATTAGAGTCTCTCCTTTTTAAGATTGGACTGGAAGCCGGCCTTGGCCTGCCTTGGGGAGGCACCTACCGCAGGCGACCAGCAGGAGGCGCCAATGACCGGAGACACTGCTGAGCCCTGAGGGGCGGGGGCCGGCAGGGTGTGGGTTGAGGATTGCACGTTAATAGGTAGGTCTCACTGGCACTAACTTTCCTCTTTTTTAAAAGAGAGAAGCTGGGAGCGCCTGGCAGAGCTGTAACTGAGCGGGACCCCGCGTCCTCTCTGGGGTGAGGTGTCTGAGCTGCCCCGGGGCCCAGGGAAGGGGCGGTCCGGTCCCGCAGGCGGCGGCGCCACTCGCCCGCTGAGCACCGGGCCTGGTTCCGTACTCCGGGGTCCCACAGGGAGGGGGACTCGGGTGAGACCCACTTAGGGAGGAACAGCCACGGATCCAAATAATAAGAAGAACCCTGGCACTTGCATGGCATTTACCGTGTGGGGGGACCTGTTCTGAAGACGCGCATCTTTAAACCCATTTAATCCTCATAAACGCCCCAGGAGATGGAGAGGAAACTGGGGCTTTGGCCAGGGATGGAACTGTTCCCAAGGTCACAGGCTGGGGCTCAAGCCAGGAGAAATAACTCACCCGAGGTCACACATCTAACGGACGCCAGAGCTGGGATTCCATGGCGCTTCTGACCTGCAAAGCCCGCTCTCCACCTGCCCTGGCGACCCGCCAGGAGGGAAAGACCATTGCAGCTTGCAAGCAGTGCAGCTGCAGCCCCCCACCCCCCCGGGGCAGAGCTCTAGGAGGCCAGCGATCCCCAGGCCACCACCAGCACCCCTGCCATGCCTCCGGCCTAGGGCTGTGAACACCTGCGGGGCAGGCCTCTGGGAGAAGATGGGCCCAGGGCTGGGCTGGTTGCCCCTTTGCAGCCCCCCACACCCCACCGGAGCCCAGGCCCTCCCTCAGCTGTGCACTGTGTTTGCTTGACCCTGACCCTCTAGCCTCGGGCTGTGAGAGCTGGACCCTCCTGGCACGTTCCTCCAGGGCCCCTGTAATTGCCACCAATCGAACACAATGCCGGAGAAGCGCTGATGTCCCTCAGAGCGCTCATGGACTGCTTGTGATTTGCTTTTCTTTACTCCGATAATGAAGCTGACACGGCTTCACGTTTCCATCCTTGCTTTAACTACCAGGAAGCTCAGCGCGACGCTGAACCTAGAGTTATAGTAATTTTATCACCTTCCTCGCTTCCTCCTCCTTCTGCATGACTTTTCCATTTTCTAGTCCCATTTTAGCAACCTAATGTTGTACACATGTCTTGTATTGGATGCTACCTCTAATCCTTTCTAGAAGCTGACAGGGTATAAATTATAAATAAAAAATAAATACTGCTGAAACCTTCCCATTGTCGCTTTCTTATTTCTGGAGTTACCTGAAGGCCTGACGTGGCGTTTGTGATAAATTCAACATAAAACCTTTTATGCACCTACACGTTTTCAAAAATTTCTGTTTCTGCAGGAGACCCTGGGTTGCTGTAATCCTGGACTCCTGACTGAAAACTTTTCAAGGGAAAGCAGTTTATAAACACTGTTACTTGGAGCAATTGCTGTTTGCAACACCTCACCTGTATCTTAAGTATTGTTTAAAAATTGGGGATTTGGGGCGCCTGGGTGGCTCAGTTGGTTAAGCGACTGCCTTCGGCTCAGGTCATGATCCTGGAGTCCCGGGATCGAGTCCCGCATCGGGCTCCCTGCTCGGCAGGGAGTCTGCTGGTCCTTCTGACCCTCCTCCCTCTCATGCTCTCTGTCTCTCATTCGCTCTCTCAAATAAATAAATAAAATCTTTAAAAAAATAAAAAAATTAAAAAATAAAAATTGGGGATTATTCTTAGCGAGCTGGGAATCGCTGAAGTGGGTGGGGAGGGGAAACAGCACAGAGTCGCTTCTGGTTGGAGAAGATGGGTCTTGGGGAATTTACACTTTAGCAGAGAGATTCCAGTGTCGTTCCTTTTCTTTCTGCCGCCCTGAGAGGGACCCCTGGGTGATAGGATAGGGCGGGCGTGCAGAGAGGTAAATGAAGGATGCGATTAACTCTAGAGGGCGTTCTGCTTCTAACTGAGGAGAGACTCCTGAGCTACCCAGGGTCAGGACAAAGGCACCTTCTGACCTAGGGACGTGAGAAAGGGACGGATGGGCCTTTGTTACAGGCTTGAGTTTTTGAAGTCGTAGCCTGGGAGATTAGATACTTTACCAGTTCATGCTATCAGTATTTTGTAGTTGTAATAGAAAGCAATAATGGAATGAAATGGAATGGCGTGGCACAGCGTAGAATATGATAAAATAGTACAGAATAGAAAGTTGTTCAAAAGTAAGTGTGTGCGTGTGCTGGAGAGCTCGCCACTGACAGCTGGGTCTTTCACGAGCTTTGTTCTGACCTTCTCCCTTCGACTCCTGTCCACACCCGATTTGGCCCTGCTCGAACCCTCTAGACCCTGGGGTCTCTGTGCCCCCATTCCTGTCCCCTCTCGACACCCTGAACTTGGAGTGTGACCCTCTCCCTCAGTCACAGGCTGGTTCTTCCAGCCATGATCCTGATTATTCACCCTGGTGGTATCTCCTGCATCTGTCCCTGGCCTCCTGGCCCTGGGTCCTCCTCCCCCTGAGCTCACCGAGGCTCGCCGAGAAAGATGCCACTTTCCTCATCTTCTGGGCTACATGAGCAAAGCTCTTGCCACTTGCAGAGGCAAGTCCTAATTGCTGGTCAAATTTTGAGAGAAGCACAGTCTTAACAAGAATCTACAAAACAAAATTTAGTAAGTGCTGGCAAAAGCCACAGCTCAGGAAGGCTGGCCATGTGGCATTCTTCTCAATGTGAGAAGTGTCATCAAACTTTGCCTGCAGTTACCACTGGGTGCTGAGGTTTGGGTGATTTTTAAAACCTTCTTTATATTCTTGGTACTGTTTGATTTGTTTTTTCCCCTGTGAGCATGGATCACTCTTCTAACGAGAAAAAGTGATTAAGCCCTTTTTTTAAATTTTGGGAATAAAAAATTATTGCCTATAGTATATTGTTGATCTAAACCCCAAACAGTCCCTAAGTCCAGTCCCTCGTGGGGACGGAGACAGGCCCCAACTGCCTCCTTCCAGAATCACAGCCTCCACCTGTTGGAAGTGTTTCCTTTGTGGGTCCCGCCTTCCCCAGGGCCGCTCAGATTAGATGAGATCATCGGGCTCTCCCTGTTTTCTCGGCCTCTGGAGTGGAGCCCCGAGCTCCTCTCTGGACATTCCTGAACACCCAGGAAATAGAGACTTCACAGATGTTATCAAGTATGACTGGTGTCCCAAGAACAGGGGAAGAGACACAGAGGTGCACAGGAGAAAGCTGGCCATGTGAGGTTGGAGACAGAAAGTGGAAAGATGTGTCTCCAAGTCCTTGGACGTCAAGAATTTCTGGGAACACCATAAGCTAAGAGAAGGGCATGGAACAGAGACCCCTGGAGACAGAGAGAGTGTGGCTTCTGGCCTCCAGAATCAATTTCTCCTTGAGGAAGTACATTTCCATTGCAGCTGCCCCAGGAAGCGGCTACATGCCCCCCCCCCCAACCCTTTCTC